GTTAGCAATAACAAGCAAATGGCGAGGAGACAGGAGAAGAAGGGGGAAGATGGACCTGATCGACCAGGAGGGTCGAGGTCAAAGGAGGAGAAAGGATGGCAAAGCAAGGGAAAAGAGAAAATGGATATGCAACCGGGAGGCGAGGTTGAGGAGATCCAGATGATAGAAGGGAAGGATGATCGAAAGTTCAGAATTGGAAAAGAACTAGGCGAGCCGATCAGATCGAGATTGATCGACTTGATCAGGGAATTTGCGGATGTCTTCGCATATACAACAGGGGAGTTAACCGGGATCGAGGCTGCCGTAATCGAGCATCGTTTGAACATCGATCTTACCGTAAAGCCGGTGAAGCAAAAGAGGAGGCATCATGGAGCGGAGATGGACAGGATAATAGAGCAAGAGGTCGAGAAGCTCTTAGATGCCGGACATATAAAGAGGATCCAATTTCCTGAATGGCTGTCAAACACGGTCATGGTATCCAAATCAGGAGGAAAGTGGAGGATGTGCATTGATTTCCGCGACCTTAACAAGGCATGCCCGAAGGATCTGTACCCATTGCCGCGAATCGACCAATTAGTAGACTCTACGGCAGGATGTGAACTCCTCAGTTTGATGGACGCCTCGCAAGGCTATCACCAGATCCCTCTGGCAAAGGACGATTGGAAGAGAGTAAGTTTTATCACGAGCAAGGGCACCTATTGTTATGTGGTGATGCCGTTTGGGCTAAAGAACGCTGGAGCAACTTATCAAAGGCTGGTCGACCAGATATTCAAAGACCAGTTAGGAAGGAACATGGAGGTGTACGTAGATGACATGTTGGTTAAAAGCAAAAATGAGGCGGACCATACAAGTGATTTGAGGGAAACTTTTCAAACACTAAGAAGGTACGACATGAAGCTTAACCCAGCTAAATGCTCGTTTGGAGTGAAAGCAGGAAAATTTCTAGGTTATATGGTGACCAAGCGGGGAATAAAGGTAAACCCAGAGAAGGTGCGGGCCGTCATCGAGATGAAGCCACCGTCCAGCGTG